ACCTTCTCTCAACAGGAGGAGAGATTTTTCAAGAGGTGTTTCAAGGTTGTCCATGTTGGGGCCAAGAACCTGTACTGAAGGTGAGAGCAAAACTGCTGTACTGAATTTAAAGGTGACAGTAAGGGCTCAGTTCTTCATCACACCCATGCTCTTGTCAGCATAAATGCAGAGTGAGTGCTGGCCTGAGAACATACAAACCCTTTACCTTTTGCACCACCTGGTCCTAACTAAAGCCACTGGTGTCAGTCTCCCAAAATATAATGCAGACTATGAGATGTATCTACACAGACACTCCATGTAACCCCAACTCTGCACAGGCGGTTTATGTTGGCAGAAAATTCCTTGACCAAAATAGGCTACAGTGACAAAAATACTTTTAGAAGTAAAACCACATCCACTTTGGTATAGAAAGGAAGCAACACTGGGTAACCTAAACCAACACTGCCACAGCATCAAGAGTTTCATAAAGAGCCATCTTTCACATATGTTAGCTATCACATTTCTTCTAAATCAGTCTCAGACACAGATGATGGAAGGGGCTGGAAAATGGTGGCTGTAGAAGAAGAGGACTTCATTATATTTGGTTGCAAGTGATTTCCTTGCTGCAGAAGAAATGATCCAGCAGCCTTGTCCATGTTCAGATTCTCCCACTATTTGGCCACTACAGGTAAAAATGTGAGCTCAAACTGGAGAATGCCATTTACATTCTCTTTTTTTCTCAATAAGCTTTAGCCTGGGGCACTAGGGAAAGAATAAATGAAATAAAGGAGTTATAAAAAGCACAATACTAAAGCAGCATTTTATTAAAACTTGTTATGAGAAAAGGCAAAGGAGAGCATTGATTTTACACTCTTCTTCACATTCCTTTCCCACACACCCCGTCTCCATATACATGACACAGCAGAGCAGCATCAGTGAGCTCCAGTTCCCTTCTGGCTGCCACACAGCCCTGTACTGACTCACTTGGAACTCTTGCAGCTTGGTGAATTGCTCGAGGCTCAGAGAGGCAATGCAAGTCCTTAACAAGCATTAGGTATAGGGCATTATAAAGGCACTGGCTTAAATGTACTGTACAGGTATGTTAAGTCACTTTTTTTTTTTCAGAAGATACAGAACTGCAATATTATGATCTTTCCTTGTAGAATTCGATATACTTCTCCTTTTCAGATTCTTACACATTTTCAAAATCCTCTAATGCAGTTGATTTGAGGAAGAACTTGAAATGTGACAATTTTATCAATTAATTTTATCAATAATCAGGAGAAACTGAGAGACAAAGGTTTTTGTTCTTTGTGTTTTGATTGGTTTCTCTATGTGGTTTTGTTTTCACACACGATGGGAATAACATAACTTATTTCTATAATTGGCCAGTATTTCTCTATCACATCAGAAAATATTTTCGAAACCTGGATAAAAAGTGAGGGAGCAAATGACTGAAGGTGCTCCCCCCCACCCCCTGTGTTGGGGTTCCCTGTGTTTTTCCTTAAAAGCCTGTATTTTTAAAGAGCTGGCAGAGCTTTGGCCCCACATCTTCCATTCATGTTGAGAAAAAAAGGTGCAGACAAACCTTTTTATGCAATTTTCTGAAAATCTCAACCCTAGATAAAACACTATGCCAAAACAAAAGTAGTAATAATGTGGTTGATGTAGCACGAGTGGTTCAGTTGTTTAAGAATTATCTGATTCCATGCTTCCTGAGTATGGATAGTTTGGTTTCTGGGATAATAGCAATTTGGATAGTTATTTCATTATTTAATCTCAACCGGGTTTTTGAGGAAATGTTGATTTGTGGGTATGTTGTTCTTATTTACCAATTAAATACTATATTCAAATACAGCACAGAGTTTTTCCCATTTGTTTTATATAAAAATAATAATAATTCAGCTGTATCCCTGGAGGAGTAATTGACAAGATCCTTCTAAGGGTTACTTTATCTTCCTTTTTTGTTCATGCTTCTAGTTCGTCAGCAACTGAAATAGTAATTAACTTGGACTGTCATGTTTTCTGTACCATAAATAGAACTTTTAAACAACCCTGAAAAGCCCTATTTTCTTTAGGTTACACAACATCTCAAAAAAAGCAACAGACTGAAAACCACTACACGCTGGATTTTAATGTTTTGAGTTCTGAGAGAAAGTCAGCTGCAGGACATCCATGTCTGTTTTTCAAGCCTCAGGGTGAATGAAAAGTCAGCACTTTTCACAGATTTTTTAAACAAGTGTATGGCAGTGCTCTTTGCTTTTTCACTGCCTATGGAAGTGGTGGGCTATTCCTAGTCTTAAAAACACCTTTGCTGGATCGTTGAGGACCCCACAAAGAATCTACTTTCTTAGGGGCTCAAAAAAGTTTGCAGATAAGTCATCCAAAAAGCCAATCCATGTGATTGCTACTTTTGAAGACAAATGTATAAACTATTAAATAAATAAATAAATAATCCTCCCTCCAAATCTCTACAGCTATTATTGCTGTGCCTTGCTGTTTCTTAGAAAGTTGAGATAGCATATTCCTTATTATTTTAACAAGATAGGAAGAAGAGTAACATGACATCAATAGATATAAATGTGGTTTTAAGAGAAGTTTATTGTAGTTTAAGACTGTCAAAAATATCTTATTTCATGAAAACATTTCTCCTTAGTTTCAGAAGGGTTGAATTATTATGCCTCATTATATCATATATTTTGCTGGGAGGAAATACACTGAGAATAAGGAATCTGCCAGAAATACTGACCACAGTGTACCGCATTTAAGTACACAGTGAGATGTGATCTTATTTTGGGACATAGCCTGTATTATTTAGACTAAAACAACAATGTACCACTGTCAAAAAGACAATGGAATATAACTGAGGAGGCTCTTTTGCAAATGATCACATGAAGACAACATAAAACATAAACTTATTATTAGAGTTTTGCCACTATGGCCTTTCTTATACTTAATTTTATTTACTGTAATTTTCTCCTTCCATGGTTTTTCAAAACAGTGGGGTGAAACCCGTGAAAGAAACCCTATATTTTCTAGACTAGGAGATGAACAGCACACCCCACTACAAAAACTCCAATCTGGTTCTAATAGTTTAATAATCCCTTCCCCAGGGGAAAACTAACACTCTAAAAATACCAAAACAGAAACAACACTGTGATCCAGCTTGGGTTAAAGATTTTTCTGTTAATTTTGAATGTAGAAGATCAGTTTAGGGAAGCCACCTTTTTATGAAGTAAATGTTTAATAAACTGTAAAGAACATTCCCTGCTGGCACTGCCTATACATATATACACTTAAGACTTCAGTATCTACAAAATGCTGTCCTCACTACTGGGGACCTGGCTGGCCTCTCCACTCCCATATCACAAGAAGCAGCTATGTAGCAAGTAATTTCATGAAGCTCTTTCTCATGACATTCTGGAAAATTATTCAACTAATGGCTTGGTGGGCAGGTCCAATTTTATGCCTCATTGTCTGTGTTCTGACTCCAACTCTGTATAATATTTTGGAGAAAGTTCGCCTTCTTTGCACTGTGCCGAGTAAATATTTTGTCAGTTGTTAAGGATGAGCTACAAAGTAAGTCCCAGCAACATATCCAAATTCAGCAGCAGGATTTGGAACCATATTAGAACTTTTTCCAGATTGTGATTTGTAATATATTTCAGAAGCCAGAAGAAAACCAACCACTTGAACTATTACGGAAAGGCTGAATGAACCCTTTTCAGAGCTGTGAAAATGTTTTTCTCCACAGTTAAAAAAAAATTTTAAATCATTAGTGCCAGGAGAAATGGCTGGGTAATGAGGGGGAAGTTTCCTTTCAGTGCAGCATATTCTCCAAGGAAGAATCAAACTGTGACACCAAACTGTCCATGTCAAAGACACATCCATTCCACCGGCAGGTGAGCAGAAAAACACTTGAAAGAGGCTGCTCTCCATCCTGCCTTCACAGTGGAGCTATAGAGAAGGAGGTATAAATGAAAACTAAACAAAGGCTTGCTCCAGGAACGTAATTTTTTGATCTCTGCTGAAGCCAGGCAATTAGTAGAAGTGATGATCACCGAAACTGAATTCCACTATTTAAGTAAGCAAACATTCAGCTTATAAATTACTAAATAAAGAGAAGCAACATGAACACAACTATAGGGCTCAGCACACATCTATAACAATGTCATGGTAACCACTTGTTTGTAATTCTAGTGTTATGTCTAATATAAAATGTCTATTGTAATAATCTGTGGGAAAAAAAAACCCCACAGATAGGTGCTGTTGTTTGTACCAATTAAGAAAGCACCTTCCTTTCCAATAGAACAGTCCTTCTTCATACAATTTAGATTAAAATCATCTGTATCTTGAGGTTAGTATGCCAGAGATTCTGTCTCTCCTATACTATTGTGATTGGTGCCAGAAAAATATCTTTTCTATCTGCAAGGCAAAGTAAAAAAAACCTAAATTGGTGAAAAGAATGCAAAGGATGAAGAGGGTCACAAGAAATGCAGAGATAGAGTGAGAAGACGGAATCTGGAAAGATGATGTTGTATATCTGAATGTTTATCTTGGGAAATTTCTGTCACTACCCCACCTACACAACACTAATATAAATGGCGAGCAGCCCCTTCCCTTCCCTTCCCTTCCCTTCCCTTCCCTTCCCTTCCCTTCCCTTCCCTTCCCTTCCCTTCCCTTCCCTTCCCTTCCTTCCCTTCCCTTCCCTTCCCCTTCCCTTCCCTTCCCTTCCCTTCCCTTCCCTTCCCTTCCTTCCCTTCCCTTCCTTCCCTTCCCTTCCCTTCCCTTCCTTCCCTTCCCTTCCTTCCCTTCCCTTCCCTTCCTTCCCTTCCCTTCCCTTCCCTTCCTTCCCTCCCCTCCCCTCCCTCCCCTCCCCTCCCCTCCCCTCCCCTCTCCTCCCCTCCCCTTCCTCCCCTTCCCCTCCCTTCCCTTCCCTTTCCCTCGCCTCCCCTCGCCTCCCCTCGCCTCCCCTCCTCTTCCTCTTTCTTTCCCTTCCTCTTTCCTTTCCCTTCCTCTTTCCTTTCCCTTCCCTTCCTCTGCTTCTCCATTTTTGGTACTTTTTTTGAAGTAAAGACTTTATATAGGAGATATGAGTAGGCTTTTTATAGAGAAGAGAATACTTATTTAAGCAGGAATTTTTTTTTGGACAGCATTTACAATCAAGCCCAGCTAATGGTTCTAGTCCCTGATTGACCTCTGCTACTTCTGGCATGCTCACAGCAAGGAACACCAGTCCTTCAGGAAAAACCATACCAAAAAGCTAGTAGAAGGCCAGAAGGATTTAATTTTTGTTTCAGCTACACTTTGCTATTGGCAGTAGCATCCAAAATGTCTCATTGAATCATGAGGCAATAAATTGAGGCATAAATTGATAACATCTACCAAGTTCAATTTTTAAAACAGTAATTCTTGACTATATTTACTATTTGCACTGAGAAGAACTCCAGTTTTGTTTCTTTGGCACACCCATAAGCTACTATTTAGCTTCAGGGATATAACATCAGACAAACATAAACACTGGTTTCCCCTCCTCAGACCAACATGTTGTCTATATTGGTTTAGCCCAGAAGTCCTTTATGTAGCATCCTCCCATTTGATTTTAGGACCTTCCTGCCACGCTCTTAGGCCAATGGCTCCTCTGTATCACCACTGTTCTCATCCCCATCTGCTGGGCTGGACATGTCCTCTGCACAGCTCTTCCCTGCCATACCCTGAGCCTTGTCTATCCTTTCCCTGCCATGTCACAGCTCTCTTTTCCTCGCTCCCTTGCCTGTGTTGTCCCTACGCTCTTCTCCCTCACTCTTTTTCCTTTCCTTTTCCTCCAGACCACTGCTCACATATCCGTTCTTTCTAATTTATCAGAAGTGAAGCAGAAGTGACACAACCAGCAGAGGAAGCCAAAACCAGGTGTTTGCTTGTGTCCTGCTTTTCTCATGCACCTTGTGCAATGGTGCCTGCCTGTGACTGGAGCTATGTAGCGTGGCCGAAGTGCAACCAGCCAAGCTTCAGAGAAACCGAGCCACTGGCCAGGCATGGAGATGCACGATGCACAGCTCTGTCAGCGCTGCTCAGAAAGGAGGAATAGAAGACTTCTAGGGCAAGACTAGAGAAAAACAGTTGTGTGCCTCTCAGCATATGATGGTTTCTGGTATAAGAATAGCTTTTTGATCACCTTTCAAAAGCAGTCAAAACTACAGATAAATACAGGAAGTAATAAGATTCTGAGCAGACATTCCCTTTGTTTTACCCTTGCGTCCTTTTCTGGCTCAGTTTTACAACTCCACTACAGACCAACCAGAGACCAGAAAGTTAACAGAGACTGGAAGAACCACCTAGGCCTCATGGTACTTCAGGTCAGGACAAACCCCACTGGGTTCAGGGATAGAACAATGAAACAAGAGGATGAGACACATTTCTGAAAATGCTAACTCAAGTCACAGAATCACAGAATGGTTGGGGTTTGGAGGGACCTCTGCAGATCATGCAGTGAAATACCCCTGCTAAATCAGGTTCATGTACAGCAGGATGCACAGGATCATGTCCAGGCCTTTCTTGAACATCTCCAGAGAAAGAGACTTCACAACTTTCTCTGGGCAATGTGTCCAAGTGCTCTGTTGCCCTCAAAGTAACTCTATAACCTCCAAAGTGAAAGAGCTTTTCGTCACAATCAGATGGAATTTTCTGTATTTCAGTTTGTGTCTGCTGCCCCTTGTTTTGTTCCTGGACAGCACTGGCTGGTCCCATCATCTTGACATCCACCCTTAAGATACTTGTGTGCATTGATAAGATCCTCTTTCAATTATTTCTTCTCCAAGATAAACAGCCCCAGTTCCCTCAGCCTACTTTATAAAAGAGATACTTCAGACACCTAATAAGCTTCACCGTCTTCTGATGGATCAGGGAATGAAGTTCTAAGAATGTACTTAAATACTTAAAAAAAATATAGCTCACTTATACATATTTATTTTCAGATAAAGTCAGCAATTCTTAAAAAGTAAGTACAGTCCAAATAAAAGTCATTGTTTCAACAGCAACAAAAAAAGTTATTGCTCTCCTCAGCAGCCTCTCTCCATAAGGTATTCTATGTGTTTAACAACTATAAAACTTCACTGAGGCCAACTGAATGAGGGGATAGAGTCAGTAACTAAGTGAGGAGACAGCAGGTAAAAGGATCAGGAAATAAGGTATATGCCAGCAGAAGAGTGTTAACTATACAGACCCAGTCATCTGACCTACTCGTTTTGGCACCTGACCCAGAGGAATGCACAGTGCAGTACGCCCACTACCTATGTCCAGTTTCTGCTATCTACATCCACTGCCTCTCCCTTCAGTTCTGCCACATTTCTGAAAACTTGTCCTTTTCTTGGCACATGCCATGTTCAAGACACTTGGTTAGAAGCAATACGCCACTTTTGGCGTATCTGGCAATTCAGACTGCAGTATTTACTTTTTTAAGCCCAGAAAATGTGACCGTTTCTGCAATTTTGTTTACTGCTGTGAAGAAATTCACACTGCATCTTGACAGCATGTAAGATGACATATGATGAGGAAAGGCCTTCATAAGGCAGGTAAATATCAAAAAATAATTCAGTTCAACTCCAGAAAAAAATTTTGCTTAGAAAATTTAGTTATATGTAAAGTCTGTGAATGTATTTCCTAAGCGAACCACTGGACAATACCTCACTGCACCGAAAGGAATGGCCTAACTTTTATCGACATCAAAGGGGTAAGGAAAGATGCAAGACAGCCTTTAGAAAACCTAACAGCTCCATTGTTTCTCTGTTTTCTGGGACAAGTTGAACCCTTCAGAAGCTCAACACAGAAATTTGCCCATGGCTTCTACACCTGTGAAGTATGTATTTCTTAATTTTTAATTTATAGGTGTCTTTCATATTGCCATCTTCTACCCAAAGACCTAGTCAAGTCTACTTCTCACAGTAATCTGGAAGGACTGGAGTGTTGTGATTCAAGCTTTGGCTACATCTTTCATGTAGATATGCTTTTGATATTGTTAGAAGATTGTATTTGGAAAGGCTGAGAAATAAAAGTTAAGTTAACAACGCCATGGACTTAAAAGAAAAATTACTTCTATAGCTATTTTCTGCCTTTAATCTTCAAGAATTATACTGAATTTTAAAAATCTATGGAGGGAAACTTATGAATTTTTAATGCTTTTATTCCTTTCAAAGTATAATTTAATATTGTTTCCAAAATTATCTTCCACAGACTGGTACAACACCAGTTCATGTTGATCCGAATATCATCCCACTGGCTGATCTGATCTCACTGAGAGAAAGGAGGCTTATAAAAATGTTTTAAGACTAAACAGTACAGCTAGTGGCAAGTTTCATTTGACTCACACTGTATGGAAGCTGAGGCCCAAATAGCTAATGTTCTTCTCTGCCAGATGCCCACTTTCTCAAATTTAAACAGATTTTATATTTACCAGTAATACTTACAGTAACCACCAAGTTCTACTAAAGAAGACATTTAATACATTGTATGACACCATATGCTATATTTAATTTTCTCTTTAAAATGCATTAAGAAATATTTTGCAAAAAATTAAATTCATTATAAACAAGATGTAATCAGTATGGGTGTGTGTACCCAGATGTCTGTGTGTGAAAGAGATTTTGGAAAATAAAGGCTCTAATTTCTCTTTTCTGAAAGGCCCTAGATTTTACAAGGTCAGAACAGGAACTTTCAAATAAAGAAAAAACCCATGAATGCACAGAAGGAACACACATCTGTTATGCTGCCGTTCATACTGCAATCCAAAAACAACACAAGGAGAGGCATGCAAACAACATAACAATTTTGGTGTTCTAGTGGGATTTTAAATAACCAGTAAATTTTTGGTTAAGAGAAAACTAGAAAAGGTATGAAAACTCAGCATATTCCAGCTCTAGCCTCTATGTCTACATTGCTCTAAAGAGACTGCTGAAAAAAAAAAAGACAGAAACTTTTGACATTTCTATTCCTCCTTTAAGAGGGAAGCAGAGACTCTGTGAGTCTTCCTTGTCTCAGTTTGGAAGCTGCACAAGTGCACAATTATGTTTTAAGACAGAATAGGGATGTACCAGAGGTCAGAAAATCCCTTTCCATGGGCTGTTATAAACAAAGCAGAGCCATGGGACAATGGTGAGGAGAAGTGGTCTCAGGTGGAAGCCCATGGTTTGAGAAGAGTCCAGGTTGCACCTGAGGTGCCCTAGAGAAAGGAGCAGGACTTGCGCAGGCTACATCTCCACTTGATCTCATCTAGAAGGAATCCTGGAAAATGTAATCCCAGTATCTGCTGGGATTTGCAGACATCCACAAAAAGGCATATTTGGAAAGAGTTCAAGATAGATGCAGCTTCCTTTCTAGTAACTTAGGAAAATGTGAAAGAAACTAAAGATCATGCTCATCTTCCCCAGAAGCAGGGAAAAAAACCTCCTTGTTTTACTTGCAATGTCAAAGTCAAGGAGGCAGCCATTAATTTAACTACAGCAACACCTGGTAGAGTTTTAGCCCAGTGACCAGGCCTTTTTATTTTACTAAACCTACTAAAAGTGGTTTTACTTGCCTGTTTAGACTTCACCATTAGAACTATGGGGAGTTCTCTGAGTTTGTTTTTAAAATAACTTGATAGGCAAAGCCTGTGGGGAAAATTGGCCTCTAACATATAGGAAAAGCAAACAAGAGTGGTAATGAATTCAAAGGTTAATGTAGAGACAATGAAAAAATTAATTAGGGGAACACATTCTGCTACCCATCCCTTCATTAAAATATAATGGCATAGCTGCACCCCAGCTCTGGGCACATCCTCAAGAGGGATGAGAATCAGATACTGCAAACAGTGTGAGATGCAACACATGGGAATATACGCCAGCTCCCGGTGTCACCCAGGACAGGTGATACTTTCACCTGCTAGGCTGCAACAGCAATACCTTGCAGACTGCCTGCCTGCAAGGCAGGGAAGGCCCTGCTAATGGCTGTTTTACTTCCATCTGTGCATAGACCCCAGAACATTTCTCTGCAAGTGAAGGAAATTATTTTCAAACATGTGCATTGTTGTGTCCACTGTGGTATGGCTGAACTACAGACCCGTGTGCACGTGCAAGACTTATCCATTTCCCAACCCATCTTTATAGCTGGATTTTCTCACACTAGCTCCTGAAAAGCTTAAAAGCAGCTAAATTAATTTCCCAGCACAGCTTAAATTCAGGCGATATTTCTGAAGTGACTCTCCAACCTTCTTTTCCCCCATTTGGGATTTAACAAACTCCACCCAAAATTCCACAACACATCTGGCAAACAAGTTATTGAGACTGGCTTATTTAACATCATCCCTTCTGTACTTCCCTGCTACCTCCATAAACTACCTTGAAACTGTAAGATGCCGTAAAAAGCTGTCTATGTAAATTAAAAAAAGAATAACATTCTGCCAATAAATTCTATAATATTATACCAAAACCAAACCTCAAGGTAATTCAGGTATCCCCAAAGCTAAGGCTGAAAAAAGCATCACACTTAAAACAGTCTCAAAATTGCATGTTGGGGTTAGAAAACATCTTTCAAAACAAATTTTTTACAGGAAATGTTGTTTGGGTATAGCTGAAATTTTGTCATTTTGTTATTTTAAAAAATTTTCCATGCTTATAAACAATCTAAGAGATCCATCAGGCCACTTCAGTATGGCTGCACTGGTGGCATTCTGCCTTCTCTCAGCACTTCTCCAGAACAACGTAGCCCTAGAATTTAGTTTTCAAGCACCTGACACAACAGTTCTGGGCTGTGGGTTTAGCTTCTGGCTCTCGTAACAGCTTTTCATTCTCTCAACCCAACCAATTTGGAGTGCAACCATGAAGTACCCACATGAAGATGCACTTCAGGTTTACACTAACTCAGAGGAAATTATTTTGTGACTTACAGATTTAAAATGTACAAAATAATGGAGAAAACCCCATCCTACAACAACAATAACTAAAAGCAACCAACCAAAGAAAGAAAAAACAGAAAAAGACCACCATTACAATTTTTTGCCTCCATTAATAATATAAAGAGTAAATACAATGTATAAATTTATGAAAAACTGGTGAATAATGGCTATGCAGACTGCTGGGTGTCTATAGAAGTGGTGTGTTTCCTTTTGTTAGATGTGAGACCTATGAAAGCTCTACCTGTTCCACATTTATGAGTAAGTACAATATATTTTTTGTAAGCTCTATCATTCTATCCAAGTAAGAGAGAAACAGAGGCTAGCCTATTTCAGGCTGCATAAGAAAAAAAAGAGGAATAATTAATGCAAACTGACAGATAAACTAAGGTGCAGAGTTTTCTGCATACAATTCCCCTCACGTGGGAGATGTTTTTAGCATGCAACAAGAATAATGGACTGGGAGAGCTTTAAAGATAGTTTAAGGCAAAGGAACTGCATGCAGACATAAAGTGGCAGCAACAAGTGACAAACACACACCTTTCAGTAACAGCCCCAGAAGCAACTGAAGCACTACAGCTGGTAGTTAGATCAACCACATGTAAACAGTTTACCATACATAACTTATTTTCTCTGTCAGGCATTACTCCTAAAATAAACAACACTGCTTCATTAAAGGTAGGTGGTGACCATCTTACGTTGTATGTGCACTGATTTGCTAGGGATGATCAAAATGACCTGTGAGGGGACACCAGACCATGGATTCAGGTAGATCACAGCACAACGATAGCTCAGGTGCAATCCATTAAAAGAGGGTACAGGAACAGAGGTAATAAGAGATATTGGTATGTGGGAGATTGTAGATCATCTCCTGAGATGACCCTTTCAAGGGTCTTAACCTGATCAGCTTCTCCAACAGGAGAAGAGATCTCTCCTCATATGGAAAACCATGATACACGATGAGGAATAAAAGACTCTTTTAACAGAGCAGTGGAAAGCATAACAAGCTAAAGCTGGACAAGTTAGAAATTTGGAAAAGAATTAGCAGTGACAGTGAATAATGACAGGAGCAAGCTGCTAAGGAAAATAGAAGATTGCTATCTTTTCAGATCATGACCAAATGCCTTTCTGGAAGACAGACTTCAGCCAAATTGAAATTACTGGGCTCACTACAGGTGCAAGTGAAATGTTATGGCTTGTGTTAAGCCTGAGGTCAGACAAAAACACCTAATATTCTTTTCAGACCTTACATGCCATGGATGTCTGAGTTTGTCTATACTTATTTTGCTGGTAGGTGAGGACTCACTCTCTTTCTGAGTCTGGATGAATCCTGTCCAAAAATGAACTAGGAGTGTGTAGCTGTGGTTAGCATAATGCACAACCAACCTAATAACTTGCTCCTGACTGGGTATCAGCCAGCTCACAACACAGAATCAAGTTGCACCTGTCTGCAAAATACAATCTAGGCACACCTACTACTAAGTCTGACAAGCCAGCCAACCTGGTGCATTTTTACAGATAAGGAAACAGGAGGCACATTTGTGCCATGCCCTGGAGTGTGGTGCAAGGATTTCTGAGATAGCACCCATGGTGTTCATGCTGGATCTGGCCGCAGTACAGCCATCTCAGCCACCAAAAATGCCTGGCCAAGGGGAGGCTAGTTTGGATACAGTGCCTTTAAGACCAAGAGCTGTACCACATGGGGACAGGCCAGGCCACAGCAAACCCCAGTGATTACCCTGCCACGGAGTAGGTGGGTATTAGGTCCTCTTGCTGCATGTGGTACTCAGAGGCAAATTGTGTCATGGATTCTCTTCTTCTGGTGAAAGAATGAGGGCTCAAGATCGGCTCATTGGTCATAACTGGAGTTTATATACTCTGAAAAGACAACCTGCATTCCCTTCCATCCTCAGCACCTGCTTGGTGACTTGTCTCTTTTTCTCAGTGTAAAACAAATGAGAGCAACTCCAAATGCAAAACAAATTATGTAGTCACACTGTTTTCTATGCTTGGCATCTAAAGAGTAGGAAAATTAATAAGGTGCTAAGAATGCACTGGACATGAAAAGAGGGCAAATAAAGTAATAATGGTGATAATATCATTGCCACCACATGATGTATTTTCTGTTTGTCTTTACAGAAAATACAGTGAGCAACATACTGAAAAAGCTTGGTTTCTCAGCACAGAGCTCTACACTGACATGCAAAACACAGCTTGAGAAAAGAAGACAGAACATGGTTGTGAGGGAAGAATGTTGTCCTAAAGGGCTTATGCCATAGGACCGAATGCTGTGAAAAAGTACTGAAGTAAGAGGGCAAACCAAAAGTGAAATTCCGATGTTTACTCTGCCCTCCACTTTAGGGTATCAGATACTCAATTTACATGATTGGTTGATAATCTCAGGTTTTATTGAATAAAAAAGGTTTTCCAGTCCTTATGGTGTGTAGAAGAGCTGAGACTATAAGGATTAACCTATCAAGATAAAATTCACAAACTTGCATATTTCTGGGCCTCTGCTATTTTTACTCCTGACCATTCAGACCTTAATGTTTGCAAGCTTACACCTCAAAACTACTGACACCTGGTGAAGAGCCCCAAAATAATGATACCAGTATAGGATGCTCAAGATTAATCTATATATTTCATGGAAGTATGTAAAGAAATGCTCAAGTAGGACTGGTGCATGAGCACTACGAGCACATATGATGAATTCCACAAGATAGCTCCTGAAAGCATCCTGAGTCACTGGTTTTGTGGGAGGATAGTTCCTTGAAAGAATAATGTCCATCTGGAGGGGCAGAGTAATTGGAAAGAGGCACTGGGGATAGGATTTAAACAGTATCACAGCTACTGGATATCAACTATAAAATCTGGTAAGCATTTCAAAAACACATAATAATTGCAAACCAGAAAACTTTAGCATTATAACAGTGTCCTTAAAGTTGAGATTTTCTGTAATCCTAGAACCTTAAAAGTTGAAAACTCCTCTCTCTATTGTGTACCAGTATGATTTCCACAAACACATCAGTTGCTGTACTAGGAACAAAAACAGGATGGGTATTAGACATTGGAAACACTCCATCTGTGTTTACCAGAAGGGTAGTTTTTCCCATGGATCATAAGAAGGGCAGACGGGCATTCCCTCGAGGCAAACAGAGATGTTTTCAGAACATTGTGCAACAGGAATACTCCCTGACAACATGTCTATAATATTATGTTCTAAATACAACTTACTGTACTGCAGCTTAGGCTGTTTGGTGGGGGACATATTTTTCTGCCCATTCATTTTCCCTGAACTTGTGTAGAGACCAGCTGAGATAAACAGCTTTTTAAAAGCAGGACATCTCATTTAGCCACAAAGATGTTCCTTATAAGTCAATAGGTCCATAAAATTTTCTGAAAAACTATCTGTGTATCATCATTACCCAGTTTCTCAATCAGCAAGGTGGAAAAGGTTATGATGAAAGAAATGCACTTAGTCACAGAGTATCTTGTGAGCAGACAGATTCCAGCCCACTCCTTGTCCCAGCATCCAGTTTCCTTACAGAGCCTCTATGCGGCCAGTTTGATAAAGATGCGAAAAATGAGACAGTGTCAAATGTCCTCCAAGGCTTCCCTGCAGACAGACTTGCAAAGTAAAGGAAAGAAGATTCTGCATTCATTTCAGTCCCATGAGACTCCACTCAACACACAGCTCATCTAAATGCCATCCCAGGAGGCATTTCCCCAAGCACTAACAACAGGTAAACATTGATCCCTACCTCAAGAAGTGTGCTAGAGAGCTCAGCTTAGTTCTCCCTGGTAGCTCACCAGCTCCTTCTTTGCACCTCTATTGGCACAGCAGGTAAATGCCCTGCCATGAAGACAGCAAGTGGAAGAAGATTGTTGACTCTCATGGTCTGAGCAGCTACCTTCCCTTTGCATCTCCATGAATTCCAGCTGCCATAGCCCTCCTCACTGAGAAAGTTTTTCTGTGCTATTGACGGTCCTTTCCATTTCACATCTGGAGATTGTTAACTGTATCCTATGGGGCCTGAGTTTTAGCAGTAAAAACACTCCAACGAATTCTAGTAAAACTGATTTATTTATATTAACTGGACACTGGATACCCAGATAATACTGTATAGGATCATAGAATATCCTGAGTTGGAAGGAACCCATGGGGAACTATATTTCCCTTCCTATTCACATTGACATTTCACCTTTACCTGTCTTTTGAAATCAATAGTAGGGAAACCTCATATTTTAGTGGCTGAATGTTCAGAACTGAAAAAGTCAGAAGATGAAAATAATTTAAGTATGACATGTCCTCTGTTTAGGAGAGCTTAAGTACATATGAGGGGTGGAAGTTCCAGCTAAAACTCAAACTTGACACTGTGAGGCTGTGACTTCCCCTCAGCTTATAGCAAACTCTCTTTCTGCAAAGTCATAATTTTCTGCCATGGAAAGAATTATATTAGCAGACACTGAGGACATTGCTTCAAATTTTTGAAGGACAAAACACTGCAAGAGGGAAAAAGATACATATACATATATATACATTATGCAGCTACATAAAAGAAGAGATAAATAAAGTGGGGGTATGCTGACTAGAGCTGTAAAAATGATTTTAGGTTGCTAACATGGAGGAAAAATTACCTAAGTGTTGGATATAAAATTTACTACCTTTCCAGAAGGTTATGAATTTGATATCAAAGACTTATTTGGTGCAAGCACATTTCTGCACAAATATCTTTGTTTAACATTCAAGCCATTCTTTGGTGAAAGCCAGAAGGCTAAGTTAAATGTCCTTCAAAAGTAAACTACCATAAATAACTAAAGAAACCAAAATATTATATTTATTTTAAAAATCACCACTAACAGGGAGAACCAGTTGAATAGCTGCAGAATGCTTTCCACTCCATTCAAACAGGAAAAACTCTCTAGCATTAGATCACCAATATGCCTAAGTTGTGTGGCAGAGAAATAATCGTTAGAACTGAGAATGTGAGAATGAAGAAGATGATGCTTTACATCAAATAATGGTTTACATCAGTCAAATACTTGTTCTATTATTTTACTTTCTCAGTTTAATTTAGTTGCTTTTGCTGTCCTCAGTGCTACCTAACTGTGTTGCATGAGGTCGCAGAAGACGTAACATGCCCCAAGGCCATCACCTGAGGCTTTCTATCACCACTGCTGCTGCTGCTGCTGCTGCTGCTATGGTAGTGGAGCATGCTCTCACTCAGACTCTGCCAGAGAGCACGTATCATTTTGGGATTCATGTCATGGGTAAAGGTGGTGTAGTACAGGATGCAGAGGATGCTGTGCTTGGCTGCCTTGTATCTAATTTATGGATGGGTGAATGAAGGCATGAAATGTTAAGAGAATGATGCAGACCACATGAGGCTGCAGCCGTGCTGTGGTGCAGCAAACTTAAACAATGCCTTTGCTCCATGCAAGGACTGGCTCCTGGGAAAAGCATTTATTGCCCAGAATTCATCATCAGGAAAATGAAAGAGAACAGGCTTTATTTGTACTGTAAATCATGTATAGGACCAGAACATTCCATTGCAGTCAGAAGAAAATTTAATGCTTGTGTGATACCTGACAAAGAGGCGATTTTTTTTTGGTAGCTGAGACAAGTTGTATCTTTGAGATAAGGGAACCAATAGTATGTTTGAACAGTCTTGTTATTCTCACTTCAGAAGGAAAAGGTATTGAAATCATAAGATGATGCAGAGGGTCCAGTACTGGAAGAAACTAGGTCTGAAGAATTTGAAGACACCACAATTGAGCCTTCTGGCTTGTAGGCCAGCGCAGGAAAGCTGATGCAAGAGCTCTGGCAGGGAGTGAATGCCTGCCAAATTCCTACTAATTGGTAATAAGGATAGCTGAAGAAATTGGTCTCCAAAAGGAAAAATAAAGCTTGAAACCTCGGACCAGCTTCTTCAGGAGCAAACTACTGCTAAAGAGAGTAGTAGATCCACGTGTGTGGATAGATATAGGCTAATGCCTATAAATAGCTCCAAGCTGGCAGCGCTACGGCAGGAACAGAAGCCAGACTGTGGTAACAGCCGGCTTCACTATAGAAATTTTCATCTTAATGCCATCTTCCTTCTTCCTGTAGGAGACGCATTAAAAACAGGCCTGGATAGTATTTTAAAACTCTATCAGGCTTTTAACAAGGTTTCATAAGGTTATATGAGCAATTTTTAAATTTTGTTTTAGAAATTCAGTTCAATCTCTATGCAACACTTATTAAAATCCTAGGTTTCACTGTTTACATGAAAATGCCAAGGAATATGACCCTGTGTCATATTCCCCCTGTGACATCCTGAAATATAACTTTTACATTTAGTCTACTAAGTGTTCTCTACAAATGTAGCAATAGTGGTAAGGAACATCATACTGAAAGACTTTAGATAAATTTGCCAGATTAAAGAAGCAAACATCCTTTACTCCTTTTGCTGCTGTTAATTTAAACTGATAGGCAATTTTAATCCTCCAGAATTAATGTCACACCTCTCAATTAAGAAAAGAATATATAAGCCTAAGTAAACTGTCCTTAATACTCTTGTAAAGTTTAATTCATTTATTTGCAAAGTGATCTGAGATATCTGGAAGATTGAGTACTATTTTCTTTTCCTAGCAAAGGTTAGAATATGGTTGGGAATTCTGCTGCAGTAATACACGTGAGACTAGTTCCCATGAATGTAACAGAAACACTAGATTCTCAAATATATTTCATCTGCATGGAGTGCACTGAGTTATACTTACAAAAATAAGAGAAGAGGAAAATCACTGTACTTTTCTACCCTTCTGAGGTTGCTAGGGTTCACATGTCTTGCAAGAGTAAACGAGGATAGTCATGCTATTCTGACATGTACTGACAGGAACTGGCAGGTCTGTGTCACCTGTGGAGGGACCAAGCAGGGGCTAGTTCTTTTAAAATGCTGTGCAGTTAAAACACTATCAGAGAATTTTCAATACCAAGGAATTTTACATATTACTATTTATGTTTTGAAATTGCAGTCACAGAATGTTCAGACTTGCCCTGTTCTGTTTAGCTATGTATAGGTGGGATCTTCCGCGAACAAGTCAACTTGATAAAATACACTTTCAGATTCACCACAAAATTTTCTTCCTGACACTATAAAACTTACCAAGAGGCTGTACAGTATTATATTACATGCTAATGGTATTTCCAGAAAAAAAAAAAGAATTGCACATGAATAAGGCAATGAAAGTATGCAGGTAACCATGACTACTGTTGTGCACTAAATAACATTTTTTATCCAGCTGTGAATATTTGTATTACTGCCAGCGAAGCTGTAGAGTTCAGATTTGAGACAGAACTGGTAAACACTGAATTCTTGCCTGAAGAAAGGTACTTCCCAAAGTGGATCCAGGCCTCTACATTGTTCTGCTACTCATTCTGGTGTAACTTTGTCTAGCAAACCTACACCTTATTACCCCAGTCAAAATAATAAAAATATAACTCTTCTTGGCCACTTCTTACACTTCATTGTCAGTGACCCACTTTTGCACAAGCTATTTTCTGTCTTTGGGGCATTTTTATTTCCTCTTACCCACAATTACAACTATTGACATAACTTCTGAAATAGCTTTGACTCCATAAATGAGTTTCATACTTTTGAAAGGTCTTTAAAAATGTGCAATTTCTCAGCTTTCCTTGGTCAGTGGCAACACCCATCCTCCCCCTTCTGCCCCTGTCTACCACTTTGGTCTCAACTGCATTCCTGGACAACAAAAGAAAAAAACATTTCCAAAATTATAGGGCAAGGGCACATGAGAGGGAGCTCTCCTCCCTTGACGTATTTTCAGTTTCCACATTCATCCTTCTTAAATCATCGTTCTGTTTACATATCAACATCTCTCCTCAAATCAATCATCATCTGAGCAGGAATGGAAACCTAAGGGATTTTCCTCCTTACAGAGAAAAGGTACGCCCAAAATCAAATTATTTGGAATAAGTTGTCAATAGTTACTATACTAAAGGAAAACATAAACACAAAAGCAGTTGGTGAGGTGAACCTGTACTTCCAGTGATATAAACAAAATGAAAATAATGAAACGCCTATTGTAACTAAGTGAAGCAGGACTTAGAGCAACATCTCCCTATTCAAAAATTGAGTCACTTCTTCCTTCCAATAGAGCATAAGTTTGAAACCCAAGTGAATGCTCATTCAGACTATGAATTTGTCGTCTTTGCCTGCTTTGTAGAGAGTGAATAATTTCTTAACAAAAGTACTGACTAATGAAGCAAACACAGATCCACTTTGCAGTTCAATCTTTAATAAACTGCCTGTAGCTTCAGGCAAACCACAAATTCCATGGGTTTGTTTCTCCTCTGTAATACAGGGAAAATACTAACTCTCTTCTGCCAGTCTTTACCTGTCCATTCATTTAGGCTGAGAGAAATTTAAGGACTAAACATCTTTTGTCTATATCAAAAGAGATCTACTTAGATAGAATTATAGGTATTATTTAAAACTGCACTATCTACCAATATAATTATTAATAGCTGAATGGCAATATATATTAAGTTTTCTCTCTATGTATGGTGTGTGTGAGGGGGTGTGTGTGCATATATATGCACATACACACACTATATATATACATGCATGATAAATATATTACTAAAGATTTGCTGTATGTAGTAATCCTACCAAACTAATGTCATGGAGAATAAAACTATGGGAGGCTCAGTAGCACAGTAGCACAACTGGGAGATCTAAAGACCCACAAATTCTGGTGACAGTAGAGGCACCAAGTGTGCAAAGCAGGGCTTTCTTGTGGTTTCTGCATGCACGAAAATGCTGGGAAAGAAAGAGAACTGTTCTGTAAAAACACAAGAAACCAAATGAAATTCAATTTCTGCATGTTGGTCTACAATAAACTATGGATGCCATTTTCAATATACACTGGGCACTTTAAACTTTTCTCTCAAGCTGTTTCTCCGTGAAGTACAGTACTCACAATTACCACCTCCACATTCTATGGCTCTCTCCAGCTGACTACTATTAGCACCTCTTTATTTCAGCATTTGGTTTACTCTACTTTGTTTTCTGTCTTCTCCTTAACAACCTATAAGGCTATCACTTTTTCTTTAGCTTCTTACACTTGATTTTCTTTCTCCTTCAAATTCCCTCTTCTTTTCCATCTTTCATTCTTCTGTTTCAGGAACAGAAACCAAAATACCATTCACCTTTGTCTCTGATCTAAGAATATGTATAATCATCTCTTAACATGATTTGCAGCTGCATGAATTTTTAAACAACTTGCAGCCAACAAAAATATGTTTGTTAATGGAGACATCAGTAAATCTGTGTGTTAGTAAAAAGACACTTTTAATGGATGTTTCCTTAATAGAAAATTATGTAATTCCCCATTCCTTTATTTTAAAAACTGCCTTAAAATTTGAAGTTCAACAGACTGATGTGCATATTTCCTCTTTCTCATAAACAGTTCAGAAAAAAAGCTACATTACATATTGCATTTGCAAAAGAAGCCACAAAAATGTGCATTGCAGTGACTCAGCAAGTTGGAACCCTGTATACTGGCTTTATAGAAAGCTGGTAAAGCTCAAAGTAACAGAATAAAAAGCTAAAAGTGCCAAGAAACACATAAAATTTCTTCCTGTTGGAAATAAACTGAAAGATGTGATTTGACCATTACAGTATATTTGACTTTCTATAGCATGCCTCACATCAGCCTAGAATTTTTATGATATACAAGGAGCACTAAATTTGTACATCACTGTGGGTAATGTTATTACTTGTAGTAGAGACCACTTCTGCAGCAGAAAGGACAATACCAACTCCCTTAGTTGTATTTGCATCCATGAACCTCAGAGGAATCTGCAGCAGGCAATTAATCTCCTCACCATAACTGAATGAATGGGATGCTGAGGCACATGAATGGGAAATCCCTCAGAGGTCTCAGCAAGCCCCAGCACGGTGAGGTGCAGAGGGCAGGCACAGGCAGTTTGGTCTGGCACAGCAGCCCAGCCCCGCCTGGGACACTTCACAGCCAGAATCAGAGACACAGTACCATAAACCCTCTGACAGATAGCAGTGTTTTTCCAGCTACCATCACAAAGCCCCACAAAACACAGGCACTAGCTAATAAAGACATAAAAAATACTTTTGATCAAACATTACATATTTTTCCTCATACTGTTCAGTAAAGCAGATCTAGGAATAAAAATAGAAAGATAAAAATGGGGTTTAAAAGCAGCACTTCAAATTTGCAGCGTTCCTTGCTTTGAAGAGAAAGCAAGCTGTGAAGAGTTGAAGGGTATCAGTTAATAATGCAATGGAAACGAAAGAGCAAATCATGTATTGGCTGCTGGTCCATCTTTTGCCACTTTGAGACACTTCACACCATCTGCTATTTCTCCATGCTAAGAGTTGTTTCCTGCTCAGATAACTCTGGTGTCAGAGGGAAGGAAAGGGTCACCTTAGTCAGACTTGTGGACTCTGACAGAAACAAGACACCTCTGAAAGGTTATGGCTTTTCCTGAGTAGGGCACCAGGATGGAACTTCGGTGTGTTACATAAAGGTCCGAAGGTAGAAGGGACAATTGCAGAACTGCATGACTAATGGCAATGGCTTACACATCTGTCAAAAACATTTGCCGCGCTACCTCCAGTGACTAAAACTGTACATAGTTTTTACTTCTTTGTATCTATGTGGGGAATTTTAAAATATGAGAATTGAACATAACACGTTATGTTAAAGTTTAGTCTTCCACGAACAGAGGTCCCAAGGTTGTCCCCAAATTCTTGATTTCTGCCTATCAGCATGTATAAAACATTACTGCTGTGGCACTATTTCAACATATTAATCATCTGAATATGAAATTACTTCTGCAGAAATGCTGTCTGTTTCCAAATACAAAGACACGTAGAAGATGGCATTTAACAAAGAAAAAAGCTACTTCTAAAAAGTGGTAATTTTTTACAAAAACAATGTCAAAATATTTCCTTGTATTAGTTGTATTAGTTTTCCTGAAGCAATAATGATCTCTGGATACAGGGAGAAGCAATATTTTTTTATTCCATCAACTTCAAGGGCTGGAAAAAGCATATAAGCTTTTGGGCTCAGATTCTCTTCCCCAAGTCTGCTGATTCTTCTGGTATTGTGTCCATGTGAAATAGCCCACTTTCCAACAATGATAAATAGGTAAAAATCTGGTCACTGAGTTAGTACATATGCCTTCAATTGAAGGAAAATCTGTCTGCCAAGCTTCAATCAAGTAGATCATAGGTCTGTGAAAAAAAGAGTCTAAAAGCATGGAATTCAGTTGCTATAGTGGCACATTAAACAAATAAATGAGATACCATGGAATGCTGCAAAATATTTGTGGTCTGATTAAATCATATTTGCCACATGTGTGAACACTAACAGCACAGTTTAGTAAAGTGGGTACAATATACTACAGTCCCAGTTTTACTGTATGCAAAGTCTAATTCTTATCTGGGTGCTAATGGGTGTGTCCAAGGGTACATAACAGTGCATTTTACTGTAATCATAAGGCAAAACATAGTCCCTTAAAAACATATTAAACTATTATCCCTTCAAAGAGATATTTGCATCCTTCCTTGTGTTTGTGAGACTTGCTAAGGAGACAAAGCTCTTGATCATGGTAGCCTCCAGGATGCTTACATATGGAGTGTTTGTTTGAGTACATAACTTGTAGCTGGCAGCTGACTTATTAAACCTTCATCAATATAACCCATCCTCCTCCAATACATTATTTTTTTCCAGTGAAATGTTCTCTTTTCTTGATAAAAGACTTTGAACATACCCATTATTAACCATAACAATATAACCTGTAATGTTTGACTCTACTATCTGCCTATGCTATCAGGAAAAAGGGAAGAAACAAGAAATCTATTCTGTTAAAAGATAAAACAAGTGTTTGATTTAGCAGAGAGAAGAAATCACATTTTTTTTATTGAAAATTCATACTACTTATTAATGCATTCTGCATTGATTTTAAAGTCGACCATTTATTTACATTTACAACCTGTAACTATATATCTGATAAATGGTGCAGTAGCACCTGAAAATGTACATCTTAGGCATTACGGAAGAGTTGTGCACAGCTCCAGCAGTGTCTACAGCAACCAATATAAGCTGCACAAAAAGTGAACGTTATGACAAAACCAACATTCCTAGTATTGTCAGAATTATGCGACCGAACCAAATGCATGTCCTTCCCACATCATTTGCTGGTGTAACAACAAACCTAGCAGTCCAGGGCCAAACTCTGCTTCTAGGAAACACAGCTCAGTACTCCACACTCAGAGAAAGGCTAAGGCTCCCTTCATGTGTCCTTTTGGGGCTTTTCTTTGGTTATTTGCTTTGTGCCCATAGTAATCACTCTAACAAACACTTGTATGAGCAACTTCAGCTGAAAATCTGGCTTTAAGCTTTCATTATCAGTATTATTACTATCAGCATCATTACTATTTCCAAAGTTGCACCTAGCTTTGGCTGTTAAAGCAGGGCAGTTTGAAATACAGACAGAACACCTCCTTACCTCTGGTATTTCAAACATGTGACCTTCCAGCTCACCTGCAGCCCTCAGCAAACTGTATCTATTTTAATATGCAATGCATTTCACACTTCACAGCTGATATGGAAAAATAAGGGTCTTTTCTAAACAAAGGACTCCCGGTTTGAGAGTCAAACAGATGATCAAGATTATGTACAATCTTGTCAGATAAAAATATAGACAAAAATATAGATGCAAAGACATCAGTGTCATTCTACAGATGCCACACAGGAAATTTTATATGAACACAGGCTTCATACTCTTGCATGGTTGCGGGTGGTTTTAATCTTAAACTTTTTCCAAGGTTTTGAAGCTCCTGGCATGCCACTGTGCAAATATTACTTTACTGACCTGTAAACCTACATCCAACGGCAACAGAAACAATTCTCCGCCTCACAGCAGCACCCATAAGCCATTTCCTTGCTCTCAACTCCTCAAACTAATACATCTCAGGGAAGTCTACCGAGTGAAGAGATGGAAGAAAATATACTCTTCATTTCATCTTTCTTACTCTTTATTTCCTTGCTTCTCTCTTCCTCCTCCTCCTCCTTGAAGTCCTCCAGCATTTTGAGTCTCTTCCAGCTTGTCTACATTATTTTGTGGTTCCTTTTTAACTCACTTGCCTCATCTGTTATTTTTCCTTTTTTTTTCCCTAGGTAGGAGTTGGAACAGCACCAGCTGACTATTTAATTCATCTTTTTCCTCCTGCCTGTCTTTTCCTCTCATTCAACCATCTTTCCCATCTTTCAACCTCCCTTTCTGCGCTTTCTTACTGGTTCTCTCCCCTTCTCACTTCCTTTGGTTGTAACTCCACAACTTTGTGCTGACACTAGCTGCTCTCATGCTCTCTGCTAGCAGACTGAGTTACGTGACCTTGTCAACAGAAGGTGGTTAAACTTCTTGAAAAAGATTTCATCTGGGGATTTCAGCTCTCAGGCCTTTCATTTTCAATGTTCACACCCAGAGTAGGGCTTGCAGGTTTTGCTGTTATTAAGTACTCCAAGGTGTTTTAGAAAAGGTTCCTTGTTACTGAAGTTTAGGGACGTTTATATCAGGAGAAGCCTCTGTGTGGGTTTTCTCCAGATTAGTGGAAATAGAAAACAATTGGAAAAATTCAGCATCTGTGTCCCGTTAAAAAGCTGTCTTCACTTTACCCTGATGAGTGTTCTCTGGCAGATATGTAACATGGTTAAAGCCAGCTTCCCATTTCGCAAAAACTGCTGTGCTGTTACTGTGTTAGGTAAAGGGGTTTTCCTAATGCCCCCAGAGAATGCCATTTAGAAAACGAGGACTTCTTCATCCCAGCAGCCTCTCTCAATTTTCATACCACCAATTTCCAAGCCCTTCACACAAGTAAGAGAAAATAAAAGAAAATCTTTTAAGCTGGTGCTGTTTTTTCTCCCTAGAGCAGGGAGATAATTGATACCATGGTAGTTACGCTCCAGTGGTGGAACTGGCAGATAATGAGGAGAGATAGCAGACAGAGCCACATTACTGCAGCATGAACATGCAGAAAGTGTACAAATTCAACAACATTATTTTCATGGGTTTTGCAAATATCCTGAGTCCCCAGGCAACCAGCTTCAATTGCTATTCTCTCCATCAGACGTTTAAATAATAGCTGTCTAGGAGTGGTTAGTCAGTTGGAAATTAAATTAAAAATTTTCCCTGATTTTTATCAGAAAATCTTGCAACTTATGTACAATGTGGAAACGCCTTCCTGGAGCACTGAAAATTTTATTCATACCTAACATATGAAAATATTGTAAATAAATTAAGAAGAGCCCTTGAATTGTAATATCCTTGAAACACATTTATTTGCTTTAGAAAATAAATCCCAGAAAAATGTAAATATCTTTTAGGCAGAAGCATGAAGCATTATGAGGGTGCACTACAATTCACATGCAGAGCCCATCCATGGGATGTGGAAAGCATCCCCAGGAAGCAAAATGCACTGTTTCAAGTTAACAATTGCTGAAAAAGATTTTTAGGTCTACACGGAGAGAAACACCTTGATGAAAAACAGAGTATCTCCTTGTTCATACATCAGAGTGACCACTGTGTACCACCTGACCAGTGAATAATGGAGAGATGAGTTTGTCAAATAACTCACTATTTTTGGACATTACAATCTTTATGTTCAGATTACTATGGATTTTGATTTTTTGCATGCCTTTTCTGTTGTTCTTGTTAAATCATCAAGGAAAAAATATTTACACCAGAAAAACAACTTTGATAAAATCACAGAATTATTTGGATTGGAAGGGACCCTAAAGATCACCTAGTTCAAACCACCCTGCCACAGGGAGGAACTCCTTCCATTAGATCAGATTGCTCAGAGTCCCATCCAACCTGGCTTGAACAATTGAAGGGACAAGACAGTCACAGCTTCTCTGAACAACCTGTTCCAGAGCATCACCACCCTCACAGGAAAGAATTTCTTCCTAATGTCTAATTAACTAGCCTGCCCTCTTTCAGTTTGAAGCCATTCCTCCTTGTCCTGTCACTATATATCCTTGCAAAAAGTCCCTTCAGCTGTCTTGAAGGACCATTTCAGGTACTAAAAGACTGGAATAAAGTTACCCTGAAGCCATCACTTCTCCAGGCTGACCAATGTCAATTCTCTTATCCTTTCTTCACAGAAGAGGTGTTACATCTTTCTAATCACTTTTGTGGCCCTCCTCTGGGCTCACTCCAATAGGATTGTGTCCTTTCCACCAATAAAACAAAAAGAGAAACAAGCCATGGGCACTAGGCCTAGGACACGGCTGCTAGGACAAACAATTGGAGAGGAGGCTGGTGTGACTTTTTACCAGTCTCTGGTGGGCTTAACTTTTCAGCTGAGTAGTCAGCGATAAGAAAAGAGAGACAACTTGTGAAATAGAGATACATCTCTTGGACAGGTTCCTTCCTCTTCCTTCTTCTCTCCTTCCAACTGCTATTTGTCCCAGTTTTTGTGCATTCTCTTGAATACCAGAACAGAGGGTAAGTCTTTCTAGAAATGCCTTTGTTTCCCATTTCCCAAAAGCAGCTTAAAAAAGAACAGAGTCCAAAACTGGAAGAGCTTATATAGACTGCAGTGGCACAGAACCCAGACAATAATAATTTTTCCAACTCCACAGATGCAGAGCATATTTCTCTTCCCCCCTTCCTGACCTCTCCTCTAGCGTCTTCATATGAAGACATTACTTTGTTTCCGACCTCCAGAGCATTTCAACTCCTCAGTAAGTAATTTCTATCTCTGTATTTTGCTTTTCTTCCCACAAACAAAAGATGATTCATATTTTTAAAACAAATTTGAGACAGTGTCTGCAAAAACCAAAGAAGGACTCTCGTTGAAATGGTATGCTAACTTGGACAGATACTGCAGGCAGTCCTGCCATGTAACCTGGCTCAAAATCAGCAATGCTCAAGCTTAAATTAATTCAGTCTACGTATCTGTTTATGTGGGCATTGGTTAAAATAGGGGTAACCTCTAGTTTTACAGCCTGTGCTAATATTGAATAGAATATAGTTTCTGAAAACACCATGCATCAACCTGGCCAGCCCCAGCACATAAAGTCTCAAGGAATGAGCTGATAAAAATGCTACTACTATGACACATCCGTTTTACACACTAAAGGCTAGTCTTCAATTAAAAATTCTTCTTACCCATAAAGATCAGATAGCCAGCCATCAGAAAATGGAAAAGAGTATTTCCCATGGAAAATATGCCTTTGGAATTATGAGTTGATATGGTTCCAAACTGCAAGACAGTCTCCAGAAAACAAATTACATCTTTGATGAAAGAGTTCAGCAATTTGGCAATTGAAATTGTAGCCCACAAAGATGAATTCATCTGCATAACTAATGAATCCAGGAAGTACTCTTGACACTTCAGAAACAGACCAGGGCTGAGACACAGCCCTACTCTCCAACAACTCTCTTTAGACAGGTAGTTATATCTGCAGACAGAAGCTTAGCTTCAGCTACTCAAATGTGCTCCTTTGGATAATAAACAACAGAAATTAAATCCTTGTGTTGGTCAAATCAGCAGCAACCCTGCTATTGATTTCCATGGTCATTTATCAAGTCATAGTGATACCATTGGTTATGGATAAATGAACTGACTATGATGATGCAATATATCAGTTTTATAGCACAGTACAACTCTGTTGGTGATAACTTTCACAGGTGTATGAATCTGCACATATGAGGTACTATCTGGTACCATAAGGTACCACTTTATAAACAGATTTTTCCAAATACATTATTTGGGAAATAATTGTAGGAATTATATTTGTAACTATTAAAGGGTGTGGGTGTATATATATATATATATATATATATATATATGTATATATGTATGTATATATATATGTAATAGAAAGATGTTATTGAAACTATATGCAATTTTATGCTGAATAAGTTTTGCATAGCAACAAGCCTCTCCTCTTTTTCTATGAAAATTTATAAAAATATTAAAATTGAATTCTTAATGAGACTGCATATTTCCAAGGTCCATTTCCTTCATGCTTCCCATTTCTAGCAAGGAAGTTCTTCTATAATTCTGATTTTTTTAATGTTGAAAAAGTGTTGCTATGAAGGACTGGTACTCTGAGTATTAACAAGACATTACAGTGTGTTCCAGAAAATACAGGTTTAGATATAGATGGTGTTGTAACTATAAAAAAAGGATAGGAAAGGAGTAAAAAAAAAAAAGAAGGAGAACTAATTACTATAAGCTTAAAAAGCAGCAGGCACTGCAGCCCAAACCACTTCTTCCTGGGTTAAGGCACTGAATTGGACAAGCTCTTCAAACCATTTCTTCACAGAGCCTTCAAGACAGTTATATTAAAATCCTTCTAAAGTATGAATACTCTCAAATATTTTAATACATGCCCATATTACTAATGGAAATATGACTGCTGTTATTACAGCTAGATTTAATGACTTTTCACTCCTTTTCTATTTATGGATTTTGGAGGTTGATGCTGACACTTGAGCAAGTTTCTACAGCTGATCATAATACAGTAGAAAGTTTTTTAATTGTGCAAAACTTTTTTTAAGGTGGTTGGATTTTTTTGGTTTTTTTTTTTTTTTTTTTTTTTGGTCCTAAAAATATTTTGGGGAAACTTGGGGAAACTGCTGTGAAAAAATTCTGGATAGAGTGTTCACAGGTTAAGTAATGCTTGAAGTCAGATCCTTAGGAGCTGTACCAGATATATCGTGGGAAGCTCACACAAAAGTGGGATTAATCAGCAATGTGACAGAAGCTAAACAACCCACCTCTCACTGACAGCTGAGAGTCTCTTGTGTGAGTTTTGTTGTGCAAGGTTCGGCTCCAGCATGGCCACCCTTGCTTTAAGAATAGTTATCATTCCATGTGCACAACTGCTGTCAAAATGTGCAGGAATATATGGGAATAAATATTTATTTCAGTATAAAGCAATAGTCAGGGATTGTGACTTTCCTAAATTGCATTCCCAGAGGTCCTACCCTTTCACCAAGTGGGCCTCTATCATAGTCTCTAAAATTTGCCACGTCAAAATTTTAACTACTGCTAAGTGAAATGCAAGCATTCTCAAGGTAGTTTAATAACCCTCTCATACTACGATGAGCAATGCAGCAGAATTAATTAGCATGAAAGCTGGTGAGGATAAAATGATGGATATAACATCAGAAAGAATGTACTAAATGTGGTGAAAAGCCCCAGAGCCATAAACTTCCCTTGTGATCTAACTGAAGAACACTTGGATATATGGAGACTGACACAGAAACCAATTTCTTTACAAAAGTCTTTCAAAAATGCTTGCTACAATATTTTAAGTTAGAAAAAAAAAGTCTAAAATATTTGGACACAATACATTTCAGCAAACTCTATGATGCCCAAAAATCTCAAACAAATGACCTCTTCACATATTTCATTAAGTATACATTTCTACAAAGCAACATGAGCTTGAGAAGCCTTTTAGTTACGGCACAGAGTAGACTTCCTGAATACCTACGGCCATTTGCTGCCAACTGCTTCACAATGTACATTCATGAAAAATGTTATGGGTTAGGCACTTCCAGTATATGGAATGTCACCTGAAAGAAATGTCATCAGAGCTGGGACTGATCTGTTATGGGGAAAAAATCAAGATGCACATGGTTTAGGAGTGTTTGCAAGTTTTCAGTTTGTAACCTCAAAGTTCAAGGGAGGACAGCTGGAACAAACATAGCAGGAGTCATCAGACTCTTTCCTCAGCACATATAATATCATGCTGTTCCTTTCAAAACATCTTAAAACAGTACAGTATCTAGCAGAAGCTGATGCTCCTCTTGTCAGTAACAACTCTGATACTGGTCCTTTGACACAAAATCTGGGGAACAAATAAAGAGCAGTGTCATCTCCCCCACTCCACAACAGACCAAAATTTATCAAGCACAGAAATGGTGGAAAAATCTTGATCTGCCATGGGGATAAAGTGCACACAAGCTGTCGTCTACTGATGAAAAGTAGTGCCAAATGGTTTGCAACATCTTGATGAGGACAACAAAGTAATAATGAAATATTTTGCACAGATGCAACTAGAGAAGCAAATACAACACTCTTCAGCTCCAAATGCTGCATCAACAGTGGAAAGCACCTGATGGCAAATTGTGGCCTTAATTTTCCCTTGCATTTAAATATATGGTTAAGAGAAAGAATGTCTGACTTGACACAGCAAAGAGGGATTAAAAGGTCAGATTTCTTGTCAAGAAACTAACTTTATGATTACCAATGCATCAATTTTAAAGCTTTGCATTGATACATATAATTCCACATTATTAAAAATATTCAGACAGGTTCTGCTACATATGTACAAGGTGTGCTTGAGTTATTTTTCTAAAAACACACAAATCCAAAAAATAGAGATTCTTTTTAAAAAGGATTTTAACCAAAAGGTTTTCATCATGAATTATTCTTTGGTAGACTGGTAAAGAAACATTAAAATAAGTGTTTCTGTCACCTTAGAGCAAGATTTGTGAAATTCAGAACTTCTGTTTTATGGAACAGCCTCTTCCTCATGACCATGGTGACATTTCTCTGGGAAAGCAACCTTATACAGGAAAGAGCTGACCCCCACAACAAGCCTGGGATGTAGGACACCTAAGTTCAAATCTCCAGTTTCAACCTAATAAGGATTCAAATATGACTCCGGGAGTCAAGGAAGGTAAAATATTACTATTCCTTGCAACTCACCTTCCTTAATCACTTCTGAGCGGATTAGCACCAAGAGTATGCAGAATCATGCACAGAGAAATCAGTGTCTTACACTTTTGTTTATGCAAGGAAGTGTTTACATTACTTTACTCACCATTCCGTGATTGAGCCATGCTGGTATAAAATTATCAAGCAGCTTTGGGTAAACCAGTTCCCTGTCATAGATATAGATGCTCCAAAACATCGTCACAACAAACTAAGGAGAAAAAAAAAGACAAGACATTTTAAAATATATGCTTCTGAAAAATTAGTTGCATTCTTTAGGTACCAAAATGGGTCCCTTAGCAAAGGATTTAGGAAAAGACATAGGCATTATTGTTCTGTGACCAAATACCGTTATAATCAACAGTTTGAATCTGGATTACCCTTTGCATTCACTGAGGTTAGAACTGTTCTTCTCTTTTTTTTTTTTTCCTTAAATTTTAGCTAGAAAAAAAAAAACCCTCATTTTTTTACTTACGTGCTTGGGGCCAAACTACAAGTGAATTAGACTTTAGTAGCAGATGTGGCACATAAATAGTGTTTCTCCACAAACAGGATAGAAAACAAATGGAAAATCAACTAAAATATCACTTGGAATTTATACAACATATCAATGTGAAACATTCACTCCTCAACAGAAGCCTTTAAATTCATATTTGCGCTTTTCTGTGTCAGCCATCAAGGCAGCTTTAAAAAAAAACCAAGGAACCTTTGATGACTCTCCACACACTTCACAGACTAGGATCCACAGAAAAGAGGTCTAGTATCCTGCTTGTTTGTCAATATGAAAGTTGGCTTGGTTCTTCTCAGAGACTATTTACTAGCGGCCCAGAAAAAGACCATTATCTCCTGTGGACTGAGATCAGGACAAATGGATCAGATAAAGTTACAGCAGGCTAAATTTTTGCCAAAGTGTTCACATGTTCTTTCAAGTTATCCTGATGTCTGAAAGGCAAAGACAATACAAACCCACAAAAACGTACAGAAGTAATAGTTTTAGCTTACCTTAGCTGTGGCAAGTAAGAAATTTTCTAATTAAAACACCATTGCTTTCTTACCTTGAATTTGAGTCAGAGTTTTTTAGTAATAAAAAAGGCTTATTGTTTATAGCAGTAAAACCCAATACCTGGGCCAGGAGCTTTTCAACAACCATTTACAGAGGATCTCTAAACAGTAATGCTAAATCCAAGTTTAAAGGTTGAGAACCAAAAGATAGGACTTTCAGTGAGATAGAAGGGAAGTATTCCATTACATCCAAACTGATGTGGGTCATGATCTTACAGCTCATTTATAGGATCAGCGAAAGAAATATCGTGTGAGCATAGCACATCCTGCAAACTACTAGCGTGTGTAATAATGTAGGCATATGTTATTTCATTAGCTTCTGACTTTAGGAAGCTAAAATTGAGGTTTGCAGTTTATCAATTGGCACCTTGTTCTAACCACAAACATGCAGACTTCGGCCAGCCAGTTATGTGAATGACCTGAATCAGTACACTGTTCCCTCAGTGTGCATACAGTACATAATTTCTTGGTTTCCAGCACAGTTGTCCATCTGTTACGACAGCTATCGGTGCCTGCTCAGAATAAGCTTGGACTATTTGACTAGTGCACAGAGGCCAGGAAAAAAAAAAAAAAAAGTTATGACGGACAGTCCAAAAAATATCGCAAGTGTAAAGTACCCTACAAGAAATCACTCTTCTGGGGCAGTCTTGGCATTGGCACAGTGCAGCTCTTTACGCACCTGCTGACACGTAAATGCCAAGATATGAATAGCTGAACAGCAGGAAAAATGGAAGCTAAGTATCCTCTTCTCTATAGGCTTCCTAGAAGTCATGTATTATCACAGTGGGTCTCTGAGAACCTGCTAAGATCAACTGGGGCATAAAAACATCTTCTCAGGCATATAAAGACCAAGATTGATAATGTTTTTTTCCAAGGAAGTCTGAAAACAAGAAAAATCAAACAGGATTAGGTTGAACTTTATTACACTGAAAACAACAGAGCTAGTATGTTTTGACCTGAGATTTTTGTGTAGAGCAGAATAAAACAATAGACTTTGTCAAGGAGGTAAAGACAAGAAAAGAGGGGACGTGCCATCTGTCCCTTAACCAAAGTCAGCCGATGGATGGAACAGGATCAGCCTAGCTGGTTCCAGCCATCTGGAGCTACAGACGGCAAATGCTGCTTAGCAAAGCACTATCACAAGGCAGACATAAGGTAAAGGAAGTGCGCAAAACCAAACGTGTTACAGAACTAACCTGTCCCACAGGATGACCTGATACGAGACTTAACACAACACCCTGGGGAAGAGTCTTTCCCGTGTCTGAATGGTTCACCTTACTCTTTTCTACAATTAGTTCATTTGGATAAAATAAACTATAAAAATTAACTATATAAAGGAATTATAATGAGGGATTGTGACACAGTTACTTTGGCTGCTTCTGAATTTGTTTACTTTGATTAATGAGCAACTGTTGGTCTGGTACTTTTAAATCCCCTCTACTATGCTTACATTTTGCCACTGGCAGACTTTTTATTTGGGCTGGGCTTTGCTAAGATCTCACATGATCATGTAGTGCCAGACCATGACACAAGTGAGCTGCTTCTTTACACTGCCTCTTGTAAAGTCCTGGACTTGCAGGATGAGCTTCTTATGCTTTTTTAATACCCAAGGCAGCACACAAGATAAACGAGACAACATTCCCAGGAGGTTAAACAACAAACTTTCATTCACAAACTTTAGAAAATAGGAGTACTTGGCAAATTTTAAAGCAATATTCAATCAAAATCAAGCATTTCACAAGGCACTGGCTTAGAGAACTTCAAACCATCCAACTCTGAGTTACCCAGATTTTGAGAAGAAGAAATGGGGGGAGGAAGAGAGAAAGATTAAAGCACGTTGCTTGAATTCCAATGTGATCTCAGCTACTGTGAAATCCTAACAGTGGGCTGTGATCACATGTGCCTATGCAACTGCTTTTATCTGCCCTGATTTCTTGGAGCATTCCCCCTTTGGTGGGGCTTTTGCTGTCCCAGTGGCTAATAGCCATTCTGGGGCTGGACTAGAGGCTTCAGGGGGGTGGGAGATGGAGCAGTGCACCATCCCACCTATGCAAGACATGCACTGCCCCAGTCCCTTTTGTTGTTTTAAGTAGAGGACCCTGAGGCTCAAAACAATGACTGGAACCAAAACAATGGGAAATGGGATCTTCTTCTTCCATGGTGGCAGTAATGGGATTCTAACCTAGCAGAGAGAGGGAGAAAAAAAGAGGAAAAAGAGGAAAGACACAAGAAATCATAGAGCAGACAATTGCTAGTTCAATAATCAAAAATAGAAGTCCAGTCAGTATAGGTATTCCACCCTATGCAAGCCATCATTCCTCACCCTGTGAGTTCCAGAGATGGCAAGAAATATGCAAATCAGGATCTAGGGGGAAGAGTTCATGAAACCAGTTTTCAGCTGCAGTGATTGGAATAGTTCAGCAGACTGGTGGACAATTTTCTTTACTTTTGCTTGTGCTGCGTAAACCAGCATTTTCCTATTGATGAGGTTCAGCATTTCACATATTCCTTGCCCATGTAATAACAATTTATCCAGGATTAGACAGTCTAATAAAATCATTTTTGATGCTTACTGGACTTGCAAGTTGAGCTCCAAAATGGCCTAATGAGTCCAACTTAAGATTCTCTATTGCAATGTGATTGCACGCCTCACCAAAAAATACAAACCTTAAGGATAAGGCAAATTTTCAACAGTTAGGCCGCCTTATATTTTGGAGCTGATTATCTTACAAGTCCAGGTATCATTGTAACCCAAACACATTTCCTGTATTACCACCCTTATCCCTTCCACCAGCGTGGTTTCAGGTGGGTCCCCAGGGCTCATATGACAGTCAATTATCATATTACAATGCTAGAGATCCAAATACCAGGATAAGGGGGAATATCAGGGTGCACTATGGGAAAGTTATACCAAGTCAAAGTTCTACTACTTAATAGTCTGGTTACCTCAGGGGGATTAAAAGTATAACAAACACTTGAACCATTCCTTTCTATTTAGCATATTCTTCTAGGGTCCTGGGCTCAAACCAAATACCTTCCTAATTTACTAAATGCATCACTGGTTTCCAAACCTGAAATCCTTTCTTCTTACATCTTGACCACTTAGGACTTCTTTGCTTACAGCTGGAGAAAACTTTCCACTTGCCGCCTTAGTCTCTGTCAATCCCCTTCTCTGTATGATCATGCTTCATACATCGCTTTCCACTACTACATGTGGATCCTTTGGCATCAAACTACACTTCTTTCTCAATATGAAGTAATTTTATACCATGTTCTGAGGAGGTAGGAAGGGGTATACAAATCTGATTTCATAATCATATGAAATCCTGTCTGAGCTTCCAAGCTAAATTCAGGAAGGAATCTTTTCCACCTGCTGTGGCAACAAGAGAGGAGACACAAACAGCCTAAAACAATGCTTGTGACATTTATAATCATACTGCAAAACTACTGAGGCAAAACAGATATGAATATAAATATCACAAAACATATTAAGAGAAAAACATATACAAACAATCACTGCAGCAAAGAACTGTGTAAATCTTCAGTCCTGTTGCCACTTCAAGTTCTCACAACCACATCTTTACATGGAATACTTGTAGAAGGAGAGAGAAAAGAAAACCCAGTCCTACTTCACCCACTTTTTAAAATAAGAATCTGCTGTTAATTTTGTATTCTCTGTCATGGGCATCTGTAGTTACTCATGCATGCATGTTCAAGGGGGTGTTTAAGACCAGCAGGACTTCCCCAGCAGCTGGGAGGCCTACCAGTACTGGCTGGCCAGGAAAATGTATGGGGTTCTGGGGGTCATCAGTCCATTTGTTTCTGTACGGCGTGGTAGGTGTCATGGGACAAAATGCTCTAAGTCATGGACATCCACTTACTCTCCATGGGTCACTGGCTTTGGTCACAGTTAATGAGACACCTTTGGATCCTGAGGTCTCAAAAACCATTTTAGGAGACCATTTGTCCTTTCTACTATCCCACTGGCTTGTGGATGTGGTGTAGGGGGTGTGGACCACCCACAGTACCCCTTCAGTTTTCGCCCATTCCTGGACTATTCCTGCTGTGAAGTGACTGCTGTTAGGAAGGAAACTGCATCATAATTTTTAATCCTTTCACAGTACTTTCCCCTGTAGACCATGCCACTGC